TGAGTTTTTACCTTCAAAGCTCCGACCCTGGCAGAACAAGGTAGGAAAGTGGATGTGAGAAATAGCAGAGAAGTTACGGACAAAAACTCAGCCCTGTAGTGCCCATAAGAAGACTGGTCTTTCAGTGGAGTTGGCCTTCTTCATTCTGGGATGTTGAGTAGAAGGGGAAATGTAAACAAAGAGAACTTATTCCTATAGATGAGCAATTTGTGCAGACATGGTTATTGTTCAGTATTAGATATTAGTATCATATGAATGTGCTTTTTTCAAAAAGTAGAAAGTATCTGCTTTACACATTCATTCAATAAGGATTTGTTGAGTCCCTACTGGGCACACAGCCTCAAGTCTTTGATGCTTAGTTCACAGCTGTCATTTTTGTGTGTGTTCTGTAAACATGGAGCAAGTGACAAGCACTACACCAGGCACTGAGGATACAAATAAGACAGAAGGCTGAGTTCATTGGTTTCAACATTTTGGAGGCAACTGGAGTGCAGAGTGGAAAGTACTGGAGAGAGTTTAGAAAAATAGGAGACAATTACTTGGGAGTCAGGCCTAAAATTCATTCTCTATCACTTAGTAGGACAGCAGCCTCACTGAATCTGTTTCCTTATGTGGGAATAATAATGCATATTGCAAGGAGTAAAGACCCTGGTAGGTGCTTATTAAATGAAAGCTCGTACAAGAGCACAGGTAAGCGTTGCACTAACTGCTGAGAGAGTATGAAAAAGGAATTTTTTAAAATGTTTATTTTTTAGTTGTAGTTGGACACAATATCTTTATTTTGTTTATTTATATGTGGTGCTGAGGATCGAACCCAGGGCCTCACAGGTGCTAGGCAAGCACTCTACCACTGAGCCACAACCCCAGCCCGTGAAAAGGGATTTTTTTTTTTTTTGGTGCCGGGGACTGAACTCAGGGGTACTCGACCACTGAGCCACATCCGCAGCCCTATTTTGTATTTTGTTTAGAGACTCACTAAGTTGCTTTGTGCCTCACAGTTGCTGAGACTGACTTTGAACTCACAATTCTCCTGTCTTAGCCTCCCAAGCCACTGGGATTACAGACATGCGCCACCGTGCCTGGCTGAAAAAGGAATTTTTAAGATTGAAGAGAAAGATATTTCATGCATTCCTAGAAAATGGGATGAGTGAACTACATACCAAAGAATGAGTAAGAATTAAAGACAGTGTGAGAACTGGAGTGATACTGGCAGAGGACATGGCACACGTAAAAAAATGACATGGCAGGAATGTTCACAATTCATGGCTAGTATCCTCAAGGCTATGGCTAATAGGTTAGTACATGAGGTAGAACAGGTCTATCAGGGTCCATCATGTGAAGTCCCCTTATATTAAAGAGTTTGGGCATTTATTATGTCATTTAAAGGAAGCAAACAAAGGATTTTAGGCAAGCATGGGATATATTAGAAATTATATTTTAAATCACTCCTTGCAGTAGTGTAGCAGATGAATAAAGGGTGGATTTAGTAGAAGGAATCTACTAGAATGTAATTGAAATAATCCAAGTAAAATGATGAAACCTCTAATCAGAGAGATAAAGGACTTGAAAAGAAATTGTTTGGGAAGAGATGGCTTTGAGAGAGCATGGAAGTGAAATCTTTAGGATTTTCTAACTGGTCAGGTGTTACTGTAGGGATGATTCTAGAATGCAGAGCAGAAGGGAGTATTCAGATAAGGATGTTTGAGATTCCTAGGTTGGGCATATTATTCTTAAGGAATACAGAAGGTGGATTAGGTTTGCAGTAAATTTGGTTTTGTACCAGCTTTATTGAAATATAATTCACATACCATATAACTCATTTAAAGTACAAGTCAGTTGTTTTTGGTATATTTGCAAAATTGTACAACTATCACACTAATTCCAAAACATTTTCGTCATTCTAGAAGGAAACCTTGTACCAGTTATCAGTCTCACTCATTTCTCCCCAAACTCCCCTGTCCTAGGTAACCACTAACCTATTTTTCCTCCTCTATATATTTGACTTTTCTAGATATATAAATGGAACCATACAATATGTGGCCTTTTGTGCTGACTTCTTTCACTCAGCATAGTATTTTCAATGCTCACAATTATTTATTTGACAAGCATTTCTTAAGATTTATCTGATCAGTAGCTGTAGCAGTACAGCAGTGAACAAAATAAAACAATGTCTTTTCTTATGAAACTCCCATTTTAGTAGTGAGAAATAAGCCACAGATATAGCAACTTCATGTAGCTGTATTATTCCTAAGTGATGCTGGATTGTGGTCTGCTGTGAAGAACAAATTAGAGGAGGTCAAGAAAAAGCCTGTGAGAAGGCAACATTGGAACTGAAACCTAAAAATACAAAGAAGCCAATCTTATCTGAAGGCAGAGCATTCCAGAAACAGCAGATAGATGCAGAGGGCTTGTGGAAACTAGTTTGACATTGAATGTGAGGTTCCTGGCAGTATCCCAGTGTCAGGAGTATATATTAGAGACCTAGAATTAAGAAGACTGGGAATGTGGTTCTGTGCTAGAGCACTTGCTTAGCATGCACAAGGCCCTAGGTTCAGTGCCCAGCTCTGCAAAAAAGAAAAGAACCTGGACTACAAACAGGAACGCTAGTCATGGACACGTCAGAAACATGAGAATGAAGATCATGAAGTTGAGAAGGCCAAGGAGGGAACCCTCAGCATATCAGCATTCAAAAGCAGGTGAAAAACTGGGAAGGAAAGGCAGCAAGACAAGAGGGCATGAGGCCAAAGGAGAAGTGCTCAAAGAAGGAGCAAGTAGTTAGGGGTGACAAAAGCTGCCAAAGGAACAAGTAGAGAGCAAATATGGAGGTTTTCTCTTAACAGCAAAGAGGTTTCAGAGAAGTGGTTGGTAAGAGTCAGGTGATGGTGAATTGAATGGATGGAAAGTGAGGAAATGGGGTCACAGAATATCCAGACCTTTTAGGAAGCTGGCTTCTTGTAGACTGAAGAAAATGAAGCAGAAACTAAAGGAGATTAGAATTGAGGGATTTTAATTTGAGGATGAGAAGGGCTAGTATGTTTAGATTCTGATGGCAAGTGAGGAAGATGTCAGTGAGATAGCAGTGTTCAGTCCAGAAGGAAAGAGAATGTAAAGCGTAGACTCAGGGTGAAGATTTGCTTTAGAGAGAGACCTGTTCTAAGAGAAATGGAAAAAAGCAAAGATGTTTGTGAGTTGGTAAGTGAAGTTGGATTATTCTTTTTTTTTTTTTTTTAAATGCAGATGATGGCCCATGCCTCACAAGAAGAGGATAGTAGAGGGTTGCAAAATTTAGGAAAGGGGAGAAAGTTTGAACTAGCTGGAAGTTAGAAGAGAAGTCTGAGCTAGGACCACTTAAGAGGCAACATGGCAGGCCAAGAGTACATGGGCGCTCCCATGTGTGCTTTGATTTTCTTCATTATTGGCTGGCTCTCAGTTAGGATCCCAGCTTGGGTAGATCCATTTCATGTCTGTGTAGTAGACTGGGTTCCTTGAGGTCAGGGTCCCTGTAGAAGGCATTTCTGTATCCATTTGGACAGTGTTTAACAAGTGCAAGCTTAATTTTGAGTTTTGAGTGAACTATGAGCTCTTGTGACTGGGAAGTGGCATCAAAGAACCTTAAGGAATTGAAGAATGTGAGATTTAAGTTAAGGTGTGCCTAGTGATAATTGGAAACTATGGTTGCTTTATGAAGATAGAAATGAGAATTATTTAAAACATTGGTATAAAATATATGAAAAGAACAAGATTTAAGGAAAGGGAATTGAAATTCATAGTATGAATAAGTATGTAATTATAAGCTATTTGGTAGATGCTCATTATGATCTTAAAGAAAAAGAGTGTAAAGTACTATGACTTTATACTTAAACACACATTTAAGAGTATTATGTAATCTGCACAATTGCTAGTTCACATTTTAAATACATCACAAATTAATCCTAACATTCAGAAGATTGAATTTAACCTTCAGGTTTCTCAGAACTATACCACTCTTGACAACTGCAAAATCCCTAAACTCTCAAGGATTACTTTTCATCTTTGTTTATGTGGACGCTATTCTTTCCTTACTTTGTAGTTTTTGTAGAACTTTCATCTGTCTTGAAATATTTAAGTGAATGCTGACAACAGTTGGGATACAGTTTAAATTATTTTAAAAAATTTTAAATTTTTTGGACTCAGTTTGATTGTTTTTATCATTTTTTTCTCTCCCCCTTGAATGTTTACAGAGGAGCTGGGCAAGAAGTAGGAAGATCATGTATTATTCTGGAATTCAAAGGAAGAAAAATAATGGTAATTATGGTCATGATGGTGGTGGATTGAACCTGGGGCCTTGTGCATGCTAAGCGTGTGTGAGGTTAAGAGTGTGGCTCTTTCTATAGTGGGTGTTAGGTCTTTTCTAATAGACCAGTTATCTGTTTAGCTCCCAGAAAAATATAATAGTGTATATAATCTACTATGAATAATGTTAATGAGAAGAATTTAAACACACTTCACTTGGTACTTTGTTAAAACATTAAATAAACTAAGAAGATACATTCCAAGATTATAAAATGGTCAACTATATCTGATGAGCTATTGTTTCCTGAAAGCACCCCCACTTCCATCCCCAGGGGGTCTGGCCAAGCCAGCTTCCCCACCCTAGTGGAAGACAGCAAGTAATGGACTTCACTGAATGTGCTAAGAGCTCTGGCCACCTGTGCAGCATGTGGTGATTGAGCCCTGGATTACCTAAGTAGTTAGCCCCTCTACTTCTCTGAGCCCACTTCCTTGCCTGAGAGGTAGAGGGATTAGAAGAGATGGTTTTGAGGTGCTTATTTGAAAGGCAGTGGCTCATGTTCCTTTGGTTTCTCTTCTCTAATTCTCCCAGACTTAAAAGAATGGGTATATGTCAGACATTGGCACCTTTTTAGTCATGCATTATCTTGATTTAGTAGTAATACCCTGTAAGGTAAGTAAATCCTCAATGACCTGCCCATAGGAATTTGTCTTCTAATGCCTTTTCTGAGCAGGGAAGAGCCCAATTTCTAGTTTCTTCTCACAGCAGTCAGATCTGGTGGTGATTCGTCTGTGGGCTTTTAAAATGCCCACCATTTTCTGATTCAAATTCTGATATGCTGAATGCGAGTTTTCATAAAATATGTAGCAGATGATGTCTCTTTTTGTCTTTCAGTTGGACTGTGGAATCCACCCTGGCTTAGAAGGAATGGATGCTCTTCCTTATATTGATTTGATTGACCCAGCTGAGATTGATCTTCTGTTAATTAGTCAGTAAGTTTTTTCCTTTAATAACAATATGGTTTTTTGAGGGCTTTGACTGTCAAGATTATTCTTTACCAGATTATGAGATTTCGATTTTTTTTTTTTTTTCCTTTTGGGTACCAGGGATTGAATCCAGGGGAACTTAACCACTAAGCCACATCCCCAGCTCTTTTTTGTATTTTGAGACAGGGTCTCGCTGAGTTGCTTAGGGCCTTGATAAGTTGCCAAGGCTGACTTTGATCTCAAAATCTTCCTGTCTCAACCTCCCGAGCCGCTGGGATTATAGGTGTGCACCACTGTACCTGGTAAGATTTCAGTTTTTAAAAACACCACATATTTTTTTTCTTTTCTCCTTTTTTTAAAATTAAATTATTTATTTATTCTAATTTGTTATACACGATGGCAGAATGTAATTCATTTCATATTACACATACAGAGCACAGTTTTTCAAGTCACTGATTGTACACAGTATTTTCACACCATTCATGTCTTCATATATGTTTAGGGTAATGATGTCTAATCATTCCACCATCATTCCTACCCCTTTGCCCCCTCTCTCCCAAAACCACACATTTTCCACTAAGAAGCATATTTCAGATATCTAGATCTAAACTAACACTACATTTTGTCATCACAGTCTAGAAAACTCATATAATCCCGTGAGTTAGTGGGAAGGAAATACTGACTTTAAATTGTTATCAAACGTGGCCCGAAGAAAGGCCCTTTATAGGGCATCTCCTTGACGTCACAATCTTGTCACATTATTCTACAAGAGCTTCATTTTAAAATAGTGATTTTTTTCAACTTATTCTGTTAAAGTGTTTGTTATAATTCTGGTTGCTGAGAGTTGGTTTGGTTATATTCTTCTTCTTTTTTCTTCAGAAAGGAAGACGGATTTTATTAAACATGTATATGTGCACTTTAAATTACCTTATATCATTTAATCAATAAGACAGCACTGTATAGACATTATTTCCTGTAACTTATGGAAAGGTTTAGTTATATTTTTCTTTCCTCTCTAATTATTCACTGATAAAGATTTTTGCTATTTAAAAAATACTTTTAAGCCAGGTGCAATGGCACACACTTGTAATCCCAGACACTCAGGAGGCTGAGGCAGGAGGATCGCAAGTTCAAAGCCAGCCTCAGCAACTTAGGAAGACCTTGTCTCAAAATAAAAAAAATAAAAAGATAAAAAGGGCTGAGGATGTGGCTCAGTGATTAAGCACCCCTGAGTTCAATCCATAGTACCAAAAAAAAAAACCTGTGTGTGTGTGTGTGTGTGTATATATATATATGCTTTTAAAATCTTTTTCCTTTATTAGAACTCTATACATGGGCTGGGATTGAGGCTCAGTGGTAGACCGCTTGCCTAGCATGTATGAGGCACTGGGTTTGCTCTCAGCACCACATAAAGAAATAAATAAAGTTATATATGTTTAAAAAAAAAACTGTATGCACATACCTACTTTTGGTTTTCTGAAAGGATCCTCATATAATTGTTACATAGAATTTCTATTCAATGACCATTTCATTACATGTAGCATATAAGATTTTAAGAATTTTAACACAATCTCTGTTTCTTTTTAAGTTTCCATTTGGATCACTGTGGAGCTTTGCCCTGGTTTCTGCAGAAGACAAGTTTCAAAGGAAGAACATTTATGACTCATGCCACAAAAGCTATTTATAGATGGCTTCTTTCGGATTATGTCAAAGTTAGGTAAATTATTTTATTAGATTATATGGGCCTATGCAATACACATGGTTCAAGAGACAGATCATTTTGTATTTGAAGTAAGGCACTCTCTTTATTCACAAGGATGGCAGTAATTTAGTTATTCCATAACAACCTATTGAATACCTATTGTGTATCAGTCCCTTCTGACTTTAAACTTTATATATAGATTTTACATTCTTTTAAATCTTTGTTAAACTGCTATAAATCATAAGGTATGATAGAAAGGTTCTATAAATAGCATTGTGTAATTTTATTAAAATTTATGACCAGATACATTAAGCAGTGATATGTGCTAAATTCTTATTTTGGATTATCGTGTCAGAAAGTTTACTATCTCTTTTTTTTTCCCCTTTAGTACTGGGGATTGAACTGAGAGCCTAGCATATATTCAGCAGGTCCTCTACCACTGACCTACATCCCCAGCCCTTTTTATTTTGAGATAGAATCTTGCTAAGTTGCACAGGCTGGCCTTAAATTTGTGTAGCTGGAATTACATGCATGTACTATTCCATCCAGCAAAAACTGGCTAATGTTCCCAGAGGATATATTTACCAATTCTAAGAGTGACATTACTTCTCTGCCAGAAAATTTAGAGCATTTTGGTGAGACCCACAATACAAATTACTAACCTTCAAAAGCTGATTAATTCAAGGGTAGCTAAAACTCTGTTATTCTTTATATGTAAATACACAGGAATTGAAATGTTATTCTTAGTAATGGTAATGCTAGTTAACAAATAATGCCTATGACATGTAGGCTCAGTCCTCAGTTCTTAATATAAACTCATTTAATCTTTACACCAATTTTGGATGTTGAGAAATCCCATTTTATAGAAGATGAAACTGAGACACAGAGAGGTTAGGTGATTTACCTAAAATGGTCATAGTAAGAGGCAATCTGGCTCCAGAGTCTGTGTTCTTAACCACTATTCTCTTGCTGTTTTGGAAATACATTAACATAATTCAGGGGGGGAGAAAAGTTAAGTAGACTTTAGAGAACTCTTTTCCCACCAAACATGGTCAGTGCATGCATGTGTGTCATATCTCTTGGAAATGTTGGGGCAGAAAAAGAAGTTGAGATTATGCAATCTTAAAAAGAATATTTTGTTTTGCTAGGCAGGTGGGACAAACCTGTAATCCCAGTGACGCAGGAGGCTGAGGCAGGAGGATCACAAGTTCAAGGCCAGCCTCAGCAACTAAGCAAGGCCCTAAGCAACTTGGTGAAATCCTGTTCCAAAATAAAAAGGGCAACAGTACTTTGAATTTACTATGTGCTTTGCTTTTACACTCAAGCTTTGTAGCTATGTACACTAAATATTTTTATTATAATCATATCCAAAAAATACATAAAATATCTGACAGATTCTAAATAGCATAATCTGTATACTAAATTTTTAGGAAATCTTCGTGGATATATCATCTACAGATAATTTCTTTGAGTTAAAAAACTTTAAAAAAAAATCTTACCCTTAATTCTTTTCTTGGCATCTTTGAAAATTTAGTAACATATCAGCAGACGACATGCTATATACTGAGACAGATTTGGAAGAAAGCATGGACAAAATTGAAACCATCAACTTCCATGAAGTTAAGGAAGTTGCAGGAATCAAGTTCTGGTGTTACCATGCAGGTCACGTCCTGGGAGCAGCCATGTTCATGATTGAGATCGCTGGCGTAAAGGTACTTTCTAGCTCTGGCCCTTTCTCCATAAGTGATATCAGTGCAAAACTTTATGCTGCCAAGTGGCATTAAAAATTCCCTAAGATTTGCAGAGTGCCAAATCACTGAAACGCAAGTCAGCACTTTTCCTTTTAAATATGACAGTTTCTTCCTCCATTGTAATACAGAGTAAAATAAGCATCTCTAAGAATAAGTTCCCTAGCACACCACAGGATTGATTCTTTTTCAGTCACCATTAGGAAACTTGTTAGGGAAGAGCCATCTTCCCTAAGAGTCAGGGATTGAACCCAGGCATGCTTTACCACTGGGCCACATGCCCAGCCCTTTTTATTTTTTATTTTGAGACAGGATCTTCCTAAGTTGCTTAGGGCCTTGCTAAATTGCTGAGGCTGGCTATGAACTTGAGATCCTCCTGCTCAGCCTCCTGAGCCACTAGAATTACAGGTATGCACCGACATGCCTGGCGTGTTTTTTGTATTCTTGATGACTGCCACTCTGACTGGTGTGAGATGAAATCTCAGTGTAGTTTTGGTTTGAATTTTTAGGGTACTTTTTGAAAATAACCCATTGCATAATATCTGGAAAGGTGGACTTGACTTTTTGTTTTCAAGTTTTTTAGATGATTTTTTACAACCTGATTTGAGAACCAATGTTCTAGTGTCATGTCTTCCTAAATGTATTTTATAACTGCTCATATATTGAAACTTTTATTTGTTGAATTCTATAATATATCAAGTTGCTCATCCTTGCACTTTGTCCCAGGCCACAAGAAATAAGCAGAAAAGAGTGAAAGTGCAGATTCGAACTTTCATTTGGAATTTGATGTGTATACTCTTTGACTTTATCTTTCATTTTAGACAATGTTCCCAAGTATCTCTGGAGATTCCTTTCTGTGCCAACATGTCCCTTTATCTTTGTGGGATAATTCTGAGATATATTATCACATTAAGTAGATTTAATGATTTAACTATGTCAGACATTTTGAATTAGACATAAGCATTGCATCTAAATTTTACCAGGTATAGGCTTTTATAAATTTAATTTTACTGTTAGATTTTACAAGATTAAAATATTCATTAGCAAAATGAAGCTTTCTCTGCTATACATGAGAACACATTTCTGTAATGCCAGCACCTCAGGAGGCTGAGGCAGGAGAATCCCAAGTTTGAGGCCAATTTAGGAAACTTAGCAAGATGATATCTCAATATAAAGAAAGAACTGGAGATATTGCTTAGTGGTAGAGTGTCCCTGGTTCAATCCCCAGTACTGGAAGAAAGAAAGGGAAGGAGGGAAAGAAGAGGAGAAGGGAGGGGAGGAGAAGACAGAAGAGACAAAATGAAGCCTTTCCCAAATCCTGCTTACAAATTTATCTTTTCACAGCTTTTGTACACGGGTGATTTCTCAAGACAAGAAGATAGACACTTAATGGCAGCTGAAATTCCTAATATCAAGCCTGATATTCTTATTATTGTAAGTAATAATGAATGTGTTATAATTAGTATAACATAAGCAGAATTTTTCTAGTGAGGAAGAAACATAATCTCATTTTCATAATGTTACTGGATATAAATTTATGGGCTTATAGTTTAAGAATTTATTTGGCTATTCTTTGTAGTTCTTTTCCACCCTCTTTTGTTGCTCACATTAGCTGTGGTCTAATGTTAGTGACGTTAGGCTGTCTCAGGTCATGATATTCTAGTTGAGTACTCCCTCCCTGTCTCCTAAGTACTTTGGCCTATGTCACTTCTCCCAAATTTGTAGGACATCTTAAAGATTGTTTAAAAGTGGTGTAGATGCACTGCCTTTGCCATGGTGACTGTCTTTTGGCCCTTGGCACAGGCTGCTGGTCACATTGTTCATCATATGTCCTGTCTACTTGTTAGGTTGTTAAGTACCAAGGAAGCAAGATAAATGACTGTGTGCTGAAACTCGTTGGGGACCTGGTGGTTGCAAATTCAACAATGTGTCTTGGAACAAGGTGTCAGGAAGTGGGAGAGGCCTTTTGAGCCTATAGTATATATAAGAACATCAAGTGCATTTGGTTTGGAATGAAAGAACTGTTTCTCCCTCATCACTTCTAGAAGCTCCCACCTTCTCAGTTATGAGGGGCCAGTGCCCATTGCAGTCCCAGAGCCACATGGTGGGTAGATCAGAGATGGGACTCAGCTCATGCCCTGCTCAGCATATAAACTAACCTTAGTTTAAGGGCAAACTGAGTTTTTTGATTCTCAAAACAAGTAGTTATTCTTGTGATAGCTGGTGTTTTAGAGCGGTGCTTCTTGAACTTTAATGTGCTCATGTATTACCCGGTGATAGTTGTAAAGACGGATTCAGAAGTTGTAGGCTGGAGCCCGAGATTCTGCTTTTCTGTTGTGCCTTAGGAGATGCCAGTGGGTCAGACATGGTAAGACGTTAGGGCATATATTTGAGCAAGAGTATAAGAAACAGTACTTGTTTCTGGTTTGAAGCTTTAACTTCTCTGAGGAGGAAGAGAAAAATCATAGCAAAATTATCTTGAGAGGAGAAGACATATTTTTGTATATATGTGGACTTCTCCCTGATTTCATTTTCCAAAATGCTCCTATTACTTAGATCCAAATTCTAACATTCTTGTTTGCACTTCTTTCCAATTAATATTATAGTAATATATGTTCAAGTAAATGGCATGTTAATGGAGAAGTGAATCTCTTTGCCTCAGGATTTCATTAAGGTTTAACTTTTGAATTCTTTTGGGATCATTGGTCTTGGTCTCACATATCTAACCTGTTATTTAGGAATCTACTTATGGGACTCATATCCATGAGAAACGTGAGGAGCGAGAAGCAAGATTCTGTAACACCGTCCATGACATTGTAAACAGAGGGGGCAGAGGGCTCATTCCTGTCTTTGCCCTCGGAAGGGCTCAGGAGCTGCTGTTGATTCTAGGTATGCCACTTCCTTTGCATTTGGGTGTTTATCAGACTCTTACATCATTTTACCAAGACAAATGACATAGCCTTGTCTACGTAACCTGACCTTTCTGGGCTTTAGTTTCTTTCATTTAAAAGTGAGGATTTGATACCAGGTGTAGTAGCGCATACCTGTAATCCTAGCAGCTCAGGAGGCTGAGGCAGGAGGATCATGAATTCAAAGCTAGCCTCACCAATGAGACCCTAAGCAACTCAATAAGACCTTGTCTCTAAATAAAGTATAAAAAGGGCTGGAGATGTGGCTCAGTGGTTAAACACTCCTGGGTTCAATTCCCAGTACCAAAAAAAAAAAAAAATGAGGATTTGGTGCTAGTAAGAGCCCAGAGAAACAGCAGCTCTCCCATTCTGGGACTGGGCTGGTGGTCAGCATGCCTTTCGGGATGCCATCAGTATCAGAGATCTTAAGATATGCAAACGTTTTTACAGCAGCTCGACTTCTAGGAAGTAAGCAAGATGTACAGAAAGTTTTGTCAGTAAGGGCATTCATTTTAGTTTTTTTAAAGAACTATCATGTCAGTTAATATCACATTGTAGAAAAAAGAAAACTAAGCTACTGAAGAGTTATTGCATATTTTCACATAGTGTAAACCAAAATGTAAGATTTAAAACTATATGTACTCTGATCCTAACTAGCTAGGAAACATTCAAGTGACTGGAAAGATTAAATCTGGATAGTGGGAAAATAATGAGTTCATTTTCTGCTTTTCTCTATTTTCCAAACATTGCAATGAGTATATATGACTTTTTGTAATAAGAGGAACAGTGGGTGTCACTTTTAACATACGTTTATGCTTAATAATCCCCTGTGATTCTATTTGAGGATAGTACTCTGGCAGAGTACCATAGATGCCTCATGTGTATATAACTTCTTGCAAAGAACTAGAAGTGGGTCACCTCCTAAGCTGTCACTGTGATGGCAATGATGAATATTTTCCCTTTTATGCTGAAAGGAAGAGAAGCAAAGAGAAGATGAAATCAGTGATCCCAAGTCAAAGGCAAATCTGACAGACACGTTCTGGATGCTTAATTTCCTAAATCCTAATCCAGTCCAGTCATCTTTTGGTTCTGATTGGTCCTCTTTCTAACTGCAGGTCAAATCAGTCCTTAGAGGACTTGAAATGAGAAGTCTTCATAACCAGTAAAGTGAAGAACAGGAGGCTGAGGCAGGAGGATCATGAATTGGGACAAAATAAGGTGTCGCCCTTCCCAGGGCTGCCAGCTGTGGCAAATAAAGTGTGGTTGTCCAGTTAAATTTTAATTTCAGATGAATAAAGAGTAACATTTTTAGTGGGGGTGTCCCAAATATTTAATGTTCCAATGCCAAAAATCTTTTGTTTTTTCTCAGAAGCTCAAGTTAAGTGGGTGTTTGGTATTTTCATCTGGCAGCCCCACTGTCAAAGCATGCATCATGACACGCTCAAGTGCCAGTGCTCTTTGTGTGTGGGTGGCTTTGCCCCTTGTCCTCCCAGGCAACAAGGCAAAGTAGAAAGAGGACAGCCATTCCAGTCACTGCTTTCACACATCATTATGTCCCACCATTCAGCCTGGGGCAAGTTGCCCGACTTTTTTTCTCACTATTCAAAATTTGTTCATAAAAATACAAAAAAGAGTAGGGCTGGGGTTGTAGCTCAGTGGTAGAGCGCTTGCCTTGCATGCGAGAGGCACTAGGTTCGATCCTCAGCACCACATAGAAAATAAGTAAATGAAATCAAGATAGGTGTCCATCTACAACTAAAAAAATATTTTTTAAAAAATACAGAAACAGTAGATTGTGATGTGATCTTTTAGATACAGTCGGCTTTACCCAGTATGTGAGAAATCATACAGAAAACGTCAAAAACTTTTGACACTATTAAAAATTTTAATTACATCTAAAAACCTAACAAGCTAAGCCAGGGGATGAACCAGGAAATATATTCACAACATGCATTACAGGAAAATTCCCTGTCCCTAGGTAGACAGATCACTAAGACATGTAAAAAATAACATTGCTGCCTATTCAGGGTTTTCTTAGTCTCACTTTTCTAATCTATAAAATGGAGATAAAGTTTTGAAAATTTAGAAATGGTAATTATAAATCACATAGTAGGCATTTAAGACATTTCCTTTATGTAGATGCATCTAGTACAATGAATCGTGTTTTGGCCATACTGCCTTATAAAATTGTGGGATTTCATGAGAATTTTCCCTTAAAATAAGCCTTCATTTGAAGATGTACTGCCCACAGCTTCATTTTCAGAAATGGTTTACTTCTTAGTTTTTTAAAAAAATGATAAAGTAATTATAATTTTTTAAGTGTTTAAAATCAGTTTACTTTTGGAAGTCATATTTTGTAATTAGCCTGTGATAAGTCTGAACTAGTAATGATATGTTTTTTTAAAAAATCATAACAAGATGTAGTATCTCTCTGGAATATTAAGTTATCGTTTATTATTCAGGATAAACTTACACCGAATAATTTGTAAAAGCTTCTACTTCTTTGGTCAGTGATCACAGCCTGTTTCTAGGTTTATTCCAGTAGTTAGAAATAAGTTTTGGATTTGTAACTTTAAGTTAGTAGAAACAGGATATTTTTTCTTAGAACTCTTTAAATAGACACGTGTACTTTATTTCATTATTGTGAATTTTAAAAAATTAGTTATGGGTACCAAGTTCTATTTGAATGACTTACTCACATGACAAACTGATGTTTTTTGTAAAATGGCTCCAGATGAGTACTGGCAGAATCACCCAGAACTACATGACATCCCAATATATTATGCATCGTCTCTGGCCAAGAAGTGTATGGCTGTGTACCAGACGTATGTAAATGCCATGAATGATAAAATCCGAAAGCAGATCAACATTAATAATCCCTTCGTTTTCAAACACATTAGCAACCTGAAGGTGAGTGCTTGTGGAAGGAAGGGGCACTGATGGGTAGAAGATGGTCAGTTCTCAGTGGTGTGAGGGCTTTTGAATCCCTCCTGCAGAAGTCTGGCTCTTCTCTAGTAGACTTCCTTTCCCTGCAGTACTTCAGAGCTTTAGCAGCTGGCATTTATTTTTTGCTTAACCAAATTTTGCTCCTGGCTCCATAGTTCTCAGTATTTGCAATTGCTGAATAACTTGGATCTCTTCTACCATAGGAATAAAAAACTCTGATAAGAAAAATATCTCATTTCAATGTAATTTTTTCTTTTCTTTTTTTTAATGGTGCTCAGGATGGAACTCAGGGCCTTCTGTATGCTAAGCAGTTAGTTGCTTTACCACTAACCTACATCCCCAGGTCCCTAATCATCTTTTTGATTTGCACTACAAATTCCATATATGAAAATTCCCATATGTTCACTTTTCAAAACATTTAATAAAATCTGGTTTAATTTAGTTTAAAATGTATCATTTCATTCAAATTGATGCTTTCATAAAGTAATTAAATAAAGTAATTAATGTCCAAAATAATTTAAGTTGTAAATGGTCTTCAAATTTTAAATAGGCTTTGTCTGTAAGCTTTATTTTATAAGGTAACTAAGAATTAGAGCCACGTTTTCCCTAGGAACAGTGTTAAACTTTTTGTTAGATTTCCAAACATACTCAAAATTTTCATTAAAACTATTGTGAGTCTTCTGCAAAATTCTTTTAGGGTTCTTTTCCAGGATGGGTAAAAACCCTTTCACTCTTAAATTTCTGCCTGCTTGCACATTGGAAATGGTCCTCTTGGCCCTCGAGCTATACATAGAAAACTTTGAAGATCAACTGCTTTGTTTTCCTCTTTCTTAGCCTAAGGTGTTTAGGAGTTTGGCAGTTGGACTTAAAATGTGTACTTGTGTTGCCCAGCCCCTTCCATAGTATGATTAATCTTTTACCTTACTCTTATTCTTCAAAAATGAGGAATGCTTTGTCAAGTCCTAGTGGTTAACATGCTTTTGCCATCTTTTGTCTTTTTCAGAGCATGGACCACTTTGATGACATCGGTCCCAGTGTTGTAATGGCCTCTCCAGGCATGATGCAAAGTGGCTTATCCAGAGAGTTGTTTGAAAGCTGGTGTACTGATAAGAGGAATGGTGTCATCATAGCAGGGTACTGTGTAGAGGGGACACTTGCCAAGGTCAGTTATAGTCTCGGGGTACTGTGTTACTCCTAATCAGAGTTGCAAAGGTAGCAATATCCTCATATATTATTCCATTGAAGTAGTTCTTTAGCAAATACAAGTTTTGATTTCAAAAAATAAGGATAGGAGTAGGTAACTAGAGATGTTTGAAGGATGAAGAATTAGACACGGAATGTCACAACAAGTTCCTGAAGAGATTAGGGCATACATTAAAATGTGAGAAGTGGTCAGCTGGTTGCAAGTAAAAAGAAAAAAAAGGTTAGGAGCCTATTTGAGACAAATGCTTGAAGACCTTTATCTAATGAAGAGGTTTACTAATACAGATTGAATATCTCTTACCCAAAGTGCTTGGGACCAAAAGTGTTGGAGACTTTGGTATTTGGGGATTTGGGAACATTTGCATAGACTTCACCAGATGAGCATTCCTAATCTTTTTTGCATTCAAAAAGCATTGGATTTTGGAGCATTTCAGATTTTCAGAGTAGAGATGTTTAACCTGTGAAGTATTCTTAAAAACTGAAGAATGTGCCTGGTTGACTGCTCATCTTCCCATTGGTATACAAAGGCCAAAGTTAGCTCCTAAGGGTGTGGACATTAGAGAAAAGTGTGCAAAACTTCAGAGGCAATTTATAAATATCCAACCATCCCATTTTCTTCTTACCATTAATATCTATTTTATCTAAAGAAATACAATATCATGGGGCTGGGGTTGTAGCTCGGTGGTTGAGCATTTGCCTCTCATGTATGAGGTACTGGGTTCAATCCTCAGTACCACATAAAAACAAATAAAATAAAGGTTAAATTCTTTAAAAAAAAGAAATAAATACAATGCAGTTTCTCACTTGGATCATTTTCATTACTTTACCTTATATAAATCCTGATATTTGAAGTGACTACATAGCAGGAGAGTTAGGAATACAGGTTTATCTTTCTAGTCATAAGAGTAATAATTTTCACTTGCCAACATTCCAAATACATTGAGTCTTAGATTCTTACTTTCTTGTTAAATGTTTACTTGACCAAGAAAATGAGTATTACTTACTAAGTTGATAATGATTTTTTGTACTGAAGGTTCTAAATTTAACATGAGAGTTATGGCTGCATGAAAAAAAATGGAAGTGTACCTTTTCTTTTTCTAATTGGATAGTTTGTTTTGTTTTCTTGTATTTAACAGCATATCATGTCTGAACCTGAAGAAATCACTACCATGTCTGGGCAGAAGTTACCACTGAAAATGTCCGTTGATTACATTTCTTTCTCTGCTCACACAGATTACCAGCAAACCAGTGAATTTATTCGTGCTTTGAAACCGCCTCATGTGGTTAGTCTCTGATTTTGAATTATAATATTTATGGGAGAGATTTATAATAGCTATGGGGGGAGCATACCCAAGAAATTGTAGCAGGCAATTTATAGATCAGGCAGCAGCTTTGAGCAGATCCTTTGCACTGCCAGCTGCTTATTTTGAATCTCCTCCATCCCTAGCTTGCTATGTAACCTGGGCACATTATTTAACCTCCTTGTAAATGGGGATGAATGAGAGGACATATCTCTAAAGCACTTATAGGATATGATTGAAATAATATTAAGTAGTGTAAGAATACTTTGGATAGAGGAGAAAGGTAAGTTCTTATAGTTAAAAATTCAAGATTTAAATAGATATTAAACATATTACTGTATAGCTCATTAGTATTACTCATATTTTTAAGTTTCATGTAATCATAAAAATAATGGTTATATGTTTTGGTGGAATTAGCGGAATAAACTGAAAATAATATGTATTCTTAAAAGGAGGAACACTTGTGGAACATGCATCTGTAGAAAATAGTTGAAGTTCCTTTTGTGAATATATTAAGTGTTTAATTCAGTGGCACTAACCACATTGTCGGGTTATACAACTGTCACCAGTCTTTATTTTCAAAACTCCATCACCTCAAACAGAAACTCTGTATCCATTAAACTATGACTTCTAGTTACCTTTTCCCTTCCACCCCAGGTTAGCTCTTATCTTCTGTCTCTCTGAATTTAACTATTTTAGGTATTTCATGTAAGAGGAATTACCACTTAGGATGTGTCCAAGATTTTTCCATGTTACAGCATGTTATTTAATGCTTTTTATAGCTGAGTAATATTCCATAAATATCATACTTTGTTTATCCATTTATCTGATGGATTGATAGATACTTAGGTTTTTCACCTTGCAGCTTTGAGTTTCATTTCCCCAAAGACTAAATAGAGAACATCTTCTTATGTACTCTTATTTTAATTCTTTCTAGCATGATCGTCCACACAGGAATTTGCCACTGGCCCTTAATGAGCAGATTTTTTGATGGAGAAAATCATTCACCTCCTTAGTGTGTAGCTTGTAGAATTTGAGTACAGTGGAGACGCCACCTGTGTGTTTTCTGGTATTTGTGCTTCATAGACATTCGCTAGGATCTTTAAGCCCAGGAGGAAAATCTGTTTTCTCTTCCTCCATTGTCAGCACCTCGTCCTCAGCCCCATTTCATCACTCCAGATTCTATCTCTGCTTACAGTTTAAGTTTTTGGGTTGAACTTGATACCTACCTTTATCAATAACCAGCTCTATCAAAAGTATAGTTACGGGTTGGATGTGTAGATCGGTGGTAGATTGCTTGCTTCACATGCATAAGGTTCTGGGTTCAACTCCCAGTACTGCAAAAAAAAAAAAAGGATAGCTTTGATAAAATTATAATTCTCATAGTGTTGGTTGTAGTAGTTGATAATAGGTAGCATTTATTGAATGCTTGTCAAGTGCCAGGTACCATATTAGTGTTTTGTTTTGTTGGTACCAGGGATTGAACTCAGGGGCACTCGACCACTGAGTCACATTCCCAGCCCATTTTTGTATTTTATTTAGAGACAGGGTCTCACTGAGTTGCTTAGGGCCTTGCTAAATTCCTGAGGCTTTCTTTGAACTCATGATCCTCCTTTCTCAGCCTCCTGAACCCCTGGGGTTTCAGGCCTGTACCACTGCACCTGGCATATTAATGTTTTATATGAATCCACTTGTTTAACTATCACAACCAACAGCTGATTTGGGTTTTTTTTTTTCGGGGGGCGGGGTATTTGTTTGTTTTCTGAGACTGGGGTCTGGCTGAGCTGCTGAGGCTGGCCTCTTGAGTAACTGAGATTTAGATGCAAGTGCTACCACACCTGCCTCCAATATCTGTTTTGTAAATAAGAAACCAAGATGTTAAGTAACTTAGCCAAGGATACACAAATAGTAAACAGTGGGGCCAAGATTTGTGCCCATGTCCTAGGTGCTAAACCTCTGCATAGGAGCCATGTTGGCCATGCTTCGTGAGTCAGACGAGAACCTTCTACCATTGCTCTAGAGGCAAGGAGTGACCTTTTTGTCAGCAGAAAGACTGGTCGCCAGTATGATAGTTGTAAAAACAGAAGGGGATATCAGGATATCCCACCCCCCACCTTCACAAAAGCTTCATTTGAAAGTCTTAAAATTAAGTTGGGTGTGTTGGCCCACACATAATTCCAGTGACTTTATAGAGACTGAGGCCAGCCTGGGGCAACTTAGTGAGACCCTGTCTCAAAATAAAATAAAAAAGGACTGGGGGTGTAGCTCAGTGGTAGAGCACCCCTGGGTTCAATCCACAGTACTATATACACAAAAAGTCTCAAACTAGGAAATCTGAAGAAAATTTCCTGAGACAGCAGGAGCAGTAGTAGTAGTTTAACCATGTGCATCTAAAGCTGGCAGAGGCTGTGGAGGTTACCTGGTCCAGATCTTTACAAATGAGAGCACAGACACAGCTAGAAATGTAGAAAAAAGTCATGTATCTTTGTAGTGATATAGAAGTTTCTTTACTCTCAAAGTAGTTCTGCATAACTTTTAAAGCCAAGCAGAAGAAGAAATCTGTGTAAGTTTGGTGAGAGGTCCTTAAAAGCAGCAATGTCTCATAACTTCAGGGGTATCTCTAGTTCATGAATTTAGTTAATGAAGTCAAGGGCCATTATTTATTTCAATAGAGGATGTTTCCTGTGCTTTTTAAAAATTTATCTGGTGGGGCTGGTGTTATAGCTTAATGGTAAAGCATTTGCCTAGCATGTGTGAGCACTGGGTTCAATTCTCAGCACCACATATGAATAAATAAAGGTCCATTAACAACTAAAAAAATTAATTAAAATAAATAAATGAAATTTATTCTATGTAGATTCTAGTCCATGGAGAACAGAATGAAATGGCCAGACTGAAAGCAGCACTGATTCGAGAATATGAAGATAATGATGAAGTTCACATAGAGGTTCACAATCCTCGGAATACAGAGGCTGTGACCTTAAACTTCAGAGGAGAAAAACTAGCCAAGGTAAAGGGTGGTGGCTTCTATTCCTGGCTGTGTGTTTTCTTCTTAAGAAAATGGACCTTCTTTAATGAAATCAAGATGAATACTCGTTTCTACTTAGTACACTACAAGGATGTTATCCTGGTGCTTTTTGTTCTACTAAGTTATTTCTTCAGATGGGAAATTTCCAGGTAGATTAGGTCTTAATACATGGAATCTGACAGCTCCCCGATCCACAGCCCCAGCTTCTTCCCCTCCCCGTGTTGGAGGGTAAGTGTGCTCATGACTGTATGCCACTCCTCTGCCGTGATGTTCTGCCCTCCCCTTATCTAAACACAGTTATGTGGATATAACAGAACCTATTTTATTTATTTTTATGTGATGCTGAGGATCAAACCCAGGGCCTTGCACATGTGAGGCGAGCGCTCTACCACTGAGCCATAACCCCAGCCCCAAATTAATTGTTTTGATGGTGAAATATACTTCCAGAATTTAAAATTGAAATAGTTAAGGAAAACATTACCTGGCATGAAAGAGGGATTCATTGGAAGAAGCCTGCATTTTTACCTCTGTTGATCAAAAATCTTTTGAAGATACTTTTAAGGCCAGCTTTTAAATGATTTATATGAAGTTTTAGGTATCAGACATATGTTAACTTTACAACATTTTTTTAATACATAATGAGCCAGGCATGAAGAAACAAACTGAAGAATAGCCTTTCTTATAATTGAATGGAGGGGAAACAAAAATTAGCAAAACTTAGGATGTGAGATTTTTCCAAAGAAGAGCAAGTGTTTTGTATCTGTGCCTAAATCTTTTTTTTTTTTAATATTTTTTTTTTAGTTGTAGTTGGACACATACCTTTATTTAATTTATTTTTTTTTTTATGTGGTGCGGAGGATGAAACCCGTGAGCACATTGCATGTGCTAGGCGAGTGCTCTACCGCTGAGCTCCAGCCCTAGCCCCAGCCCCTGTGCCTAAATCCTAATGGCTTGCAGTGTCATGATGTTTCTCTTATGTCTATAGAAAAATACATTCAATGGAACAATCTAGAACTGTTATTTCTCAAAACTCTGCTGGAAGTGATGTAGGGACAAAAGAATTTTTGGAATCAGATAATTTAAGAGACGCCACATTGAACTGAGATCAGGAAAAGCTAAACAACTTATTGGAGTATTGTTCTCTGATAATTTTAGTTATTTAAAAGCATCGCAGGCTTGAGGTATGGCTCAGCAGTAGAAGACTTGCTGGCATGCCCTGAATTCAATCTCCAGAACCACAAAAAAATTTTCTTAAGTAAATAAAGTGTTAACTTTTGTTGTTGAGCTGTTTGGAATTGAACTGAACCCAGCCATTCTTGCCAGATCCATCCCTGTGGATCTTCTCTTTGAGAACTTGTTAGGCTTGGACATGAACCTGGACATAGAGAGATAAAATATAGCGTTTTATAATTTTCAAAGTTAAATTCACATGTTGTTTTTGTAGTTAAAAGGTCTAGTGGTTGTCAATGACTGCCTAAATATCTGCATTCTATTTTCTTTTTTCTTTTTTTTTCCCTTCTTTTTTTAATAGGTCATGGGCTTTTTAGCAGACAAAAAACCAGAACAAGGCCAGCGGGTCTCAGGAATACTTGTTAAAAGAAACTTTAATTATCATATACTTTCTCCTTGTGACCTGTCCAGTAAGTATACTGTTCAATATCAGATATTATTTGACCTCAGCATTGAAAGAAAAATCTATGAAAACCTCTCTTTAATTTAGTGGCCAAATATTTAGTAACAACAAAATAATGAAATAAAAATAGATAAGTTGTCTAAATAGCTTTGTGGAAGAAGAAATCTTTTCTGAACCATTGAAACATTAAAGTTATCTATGAAGTCACTCTTTTCATAATTGAGGTCATGTTCGCCTCTCTCAGGTTGACCTACTGACCTCATACCACTGTTTTCTACCCTTTACATCATTGCATGGTGTTTTTATTTTCTGAAGTAACTTTGTACTTCTCAGGTGAACATTTTGTTTTTTAACTATCTGTAGGGTTGGTTTGTTCTGTTTGGTATGAAACCCAGATTCATGCATGGTAAAGTGTGTGTTCTACCACTGAGCTACACTTAATGAATCTGTAGTTTTACATCACTTGCTGGACCTGTTCGTTCTCCACCATTCCAAAACAACGATCAGGATGAAGAAACAAAATCTTTCATAAATCTTCTTTAAAGGGAAAAAATTAAAGCCCATCATCCAAGTAACATCAACCATATGGTCAGAAAGTGTAGTATATACACATTGAAGCTCATTGTAGAGAAAAATGGAGGTTTGCACCAAGACAAGATTGGATTTAACTTTATAAGTTGTTTTTTTCCTGAAGTTTATAAACATTTCTACTGAGTTCTATGTTGGTATAAATTCTAAGCCATTGGTAAGAACTTACTTTCCTAATAATACTATCTTCAAGTAAATACTGTGCTTGCTTATATTTGTATAACACTAGTAAATTTTAAGAACTTTACTAAGGAATAAGAAATACCAGATGTATTTAGGAATTTATCCGTGAGGCAGGCCACTTGTCAGCTTTCAAAGTATCACAGGTAAGTGTGAAACTTGTTCCTTCATTCACCACCTGGTGAACTCTTACTCCTATGCCCTGCAGGGGGCTAGGTTTATTAAAGCACTGAAGGTTTATCAAGTCACAGCCTTTTACAGCTCAGTGTAATGAGAGAAGCAGTGTTAGAAAGTGCTCATCACAGTACAGCTCAGGCACATGTCGAGTGCTGGGTGTATGAGGAGAGCTGGCCTGGAGCCATGGCAAGAGCTCTGCAAATTGGGAAACACTGGCCAAGCAGAAGAGAAGGTGGAAGGCAGCTTACGCACTGCTTGGAGAAGTCCAAGAACCTGATGGTTCTGAGGGCAAGGCTGCTTACCCAGAGTTGGAACCCAACTTAACTAGCAGGGCAGGAGGCCATAAGCAGGGACTTGTAGGAGCACTTTGATAGCTTTCAGAAGTGTGTTCTCGTTTAATTTGCTTGCACTTGTTTTTTTTTTAACCCCTGGTATTTTATAAATTGTGTTTTGTGAAACTAGTATTATTTTCTTAAAGTCTGTTTACTCTAATTTCTCTTCAGATTATACCGACTTGGCCATGAGCACTGTGAAACAGACCCAAGCCATACCATACACTGGGCCCTTTAATTTGCTCTATTACCAGCTGCAGAAATTGACAGGTATGTTTATTGAAATTCATTTAATTATTTTACCTCTTTTAGTAAGGTAATTTTACATCTGAGGAAAGATTTTATTCAGCTTCGATAATTGTCTCAGAAGTCTATTTGTACTTCAAATGGTCATATATATTATCACCTTTAGTTGAAAATATACTCATAAATTTTTTTATTTTTATTTTTTTTTAATAAACTTTTTTTTTAAAGCATTTATTTTTATTTTATTTTATTTTTTTTTTTTTTAAGAAAGAGAGAGAGAGAGAGAGAATTTTAATATTTATTTTTTAGTTTTTGGCGGACACAACAACTTTGTATGTGGTGCTGAGGATCGAACCCGGGCCACACGCATGCCAGGCGAGCACGCTACCGCTTGAGCCACATCCCCAGCCCCTCATAAATTTTTTTAAATCCCATGATACCTCTTATCTCTAATGTATTTACAACTCTAAAAATATCAGTAGTCTTGTTCCTTGTGTTTAAAATATATTTTAGTTGACTATATCTAAATTTTATCTCTTTTTTTCTCTTGGTTGAGTCAAACAGATTTTCTAGTTTCATCATTACTGATCTATTTAGCAGGTTTTATAAGAATTAATGGGCTTTGGCCAAAGACCACTGAGAATAAGCCCACTCAATCTGTTTTCATCATTTTGAGTTACAGATTTTTATGTATTAATATAATGAGAGTCAGGAACTTTCTAATAAAGCAATGATATTTCAGATTATAAAATTGCTTTCCATCAGAATACACATAGTAAAGTGCTACCATTAAACAAACCAGTATAAGGAAAATCTTTTTTCACCTCTAATCCTTACACTAGAATTATGGATAATAACATAGAAAAATTAATAAAATATGTCTGAATTAATCCTTGTTTAAGAGGACAGAAAGACCAGAAAATTTTGATATTGAATAACAATAGAATGTTCCTGTGCAGTGAATAAATTTATGAAGTCAGAGGTAAAGTGACTGGTGTGTTAAGATGCTAGCAGAAGGCCATATCTCTTGTACATGAGTTTTTATAATATGTATTTATATCTTTAATTGCTATAAGCAATTAAAATAAATTCTAGCTGTTTCATTATGCTATTAATTTTTCCATTATTAACTTTATTTAATCCATCTCTATAAGCAGATAAAGTGATGCCTCTGAAAGATGATTAGAAAATTACATACATAATGTAATTCTTTTTTTTTTTTTTCTAGGTGATGTAGAAGAATTAGAAATTCAAGAAAAACCTGCTCTGAAAGTATTCAAAAATATTACTGTAATACAGGAACCAGGCATGGTGGTACTAGAAGTAAGATAAAATCATTTACCTAAACAAGAGGGAAAAAAGTTTTAAAAAATGCTTACATGTAAATTATAGAGAAAACTAGTTGCTTCCCATTCAGGGGAAAAAATAGTTGGGAAATAAGTTTATGTTTTTCCTTCCAAGATGAACTTTAAATATAATGTAACTGGACATATTCTATATAATTACATTGCTACTAATAAGTTAAAGCTTAATATTTATTGGGTTCAATAAGTCTGCCACATGAGTCTCAGCTGATTTTGTGGTATGCAGGAATATTTCAGTTAGATAAAAAAGGTCATAAAATTCATAAGAAACTGAATTCTGTTAAAACACAAACATGCTGGATGTGGTGGTACACATCTATGATCCCAGTAACTTGGAAGGCAGAGGTAGAATACAATCACAAGTTCAAAGGCAGCCTGTGCAGCTTAGCAAGACCTTTTTTTAAAAAAATAAAAGCATATTTCAATAGGAAGAATTGGAGATGGTTAACAGCAGATAACAAATAGAGTCCATACCCACAAAAATCAGTTTCCATCAGAAATCAATAAATTAAAAGATAAAAACTGAGATGTCTTACCTTCAAAAAAATAAAATAAAAAAATAAAAGCAGACAAACTTGTCTGGTAGCACTTCCTAAAAATGGTATTTTGAAGATTAAAATAAATTTGAAAAGATATGTCAGCTCTGATCCTACTAGAGTTTTGTGATTTAAGCCTAAATTTGATCCAGAAGGCTAAAAACAACAAAAGAAAATGTCAAGCCTGTGGTGCATGTCAGCAATCCCAGCGACTCCGGAGGCTGAGGCAGGAGGATCACATGTTCAAGACCAGCCTAGGCAACTTAGTGAGACCCAATTTCAAAATAAAAAATAAATAGGATTTGGGATATACCTCAGTGATAGAGCACTCCTGGGCTTATTCCCCAGTATCAAAAGAAAAAAAGAAGAAGAAGAAGAATGAAAGTGTCAAAGGAATGGGTTTCTCTAGTATGAAGTTACATAAAATAATATGTAAAATATGATCAGAAAAAGGAAAATTATTAGAGATATTGATTCAACTCTTTCTACTAAATACTATTAGAGAATGTGTTTTTGTTTCTAGAGTTAAGAAATCAGAAAACATCTTAGAAAGGTTTTCAAGTGCCTGCTGTTACTTGTAAAAATCCTCTTTGGAGAGGCAGCAAAAATTAGGGAGTGTGCTCATTCCTAAAATTATGCACCTGGTTTCACTAACTTTGGTATATAGGAAGCTTTGTTAGAATAATTGGCACATGAAAGAGCGTCAGGGAATCTTAGTCTTCCAGTAAGAAGCAGAAGTAATATTTTAAAATGTTACCCCATAGGGGATAGGGGTATAACTCAGTGATTGAGCATATACCTAGCATGAGCAAAGCTCTGGCTTCCATCCCCAGTATCAGACATGCACATCTTACCCTGTTACCATGCTGCCTGTGCATCTAACAAAGCTATTAGGAATTTGAGTTTGAATCCAGCACCAGCAATAATCTTATGCAAATTACTTTAGAGTCAGTTTTCTTATTTATAAAATGAAATCAATTGTACTATTTTTCAAAAAATATTTTTAGTTGTAGATGGACACAATACCTTTATTTTTATTTATTTACTTATTTTTATGTGGTGCTAAGAATTGAACCCAGTGCCTCATACGAGAGGCAAGTGCTCTACCACTAAGCTACAACCCCAGCCCCTAATTGTACTATTTGTTATGAGAATTAAATAATATGTATAAAACACCTTGCCACAAAGAAAGTGCTTAGTATACTTTTATGATTAAAAAAGAAAATTAGGGATGTTCAACATTATTAGTTAATTTCAGTGAAAATGCTAAAACCAGTAGCCCTGCCTATACAGTCCCTGGCTGGCTGGGTGAGTGCCAGAGCTCTGCCTTCCTAACTCTGCCTTTGCCTTCCAGTGGCTGGCAAACCCTTCTAATGATATGTATGCTGACACAGTAACAACGGTGATCTTAGAAGTTCAGTCAAATCCGAAAATAAGGAAAGGTACAGAATTTTTACTTTCATCTATCTGTTCTTTCATCTGTTCTGATTCTGTGAACTAAAAGGAAGTAGAGTCCTAAATTAGAACTTTAAATCTAATTGTTTTATTCCTTTGTAATCTTTGAGGTGCATACACAACAGTGCATATTACCAATATTTTCCTTTTTGTTTGGTCTCTTCATTCCTACTACGGTTGCAATTAAGATGAAGGTAAAATTCCTTTAGTTATAGTCCTCTTAAACATAGCTGAAGGAGATTCCAAAATATGGCTGAATTAAGTGAGCTTGTGGGGCTGGGGATGTGGCTCAAGCAGTAGCGTGCTCGCCTGGCATGCGTGCGGCCCGGGTTCGATCCTCAGCACCACATACAAAGATGTTGTGTCCGCCGAAAAAACTAAAAAATAAATATTAAAAAAAAAAAAATTAAGTGAGCTTGTGTGTTAGGAAGACTCTTGGTGTGTAATAAACCTTGTTAGAATAGCATCTCCCTCTTGGACAATTTTCAACCAAAGAAAACACCAATGGAAATGTTTTTATGTAATTTTTTACACCTTCGTTCTGTTTGATACATAATTCAGTGTAAAACATGTCTTCAGATTTGTGTCTTTACTATAGAGTGGCCCTTGTTGCTAGTCAGTCACACTGGAATGTTTGAGAAATTGCCCATCCTATATTCCCATCCTCAGAGCCTGTTCTCTGGTAGAATATTCCTGTTTCTTAATGTTAAACATATGTGAAGGGCTGGGATTGTGGCTCAGTGGTAGAGTGCTCGCCTAGCATGCATGAGGCACTGGGTTCAATCCTCAGTACTACGTAAATGTAAAATAAAGATATTGTGTCCACTAAGTATTTAAAAAAATATATTTATGTGTGTGTGTGTGTGTGTGCAGTTCTTTGATTTCAGGAGAATTAAATTTAGCTGACTACTGCTTCATTATTCATGTTCTTTATAACTAGCTACATCAAATCTAAATTATTCATTTGGGATAGATGCAGTGGTACACACCTGTAATCCCAGCAGCTCAAGAGGCTGAGACAGGAAGATCACAAATTCAAAACCAGCCTCAACAACTTCAGTGAGGCCCTAAGCAACTTAGTGAGACCCTGTCTCAAAATTAAAAAGGAAAAGGTCTGGGATAGTTGTGGTAAAGCACACCTGGGTGTTCAGTCCCCACTACCAAAACAAACAGAAAAAAGAAAGAAGAAAAAAAAAAACTCTCACATTACTTTTTTGCCTTCCTTTTTGTTGTTGTTATTGTTCAAGATAGAAGCAGGAGGATCGAGAGTTAAAGCCAGTCTCAACAATTTCGAGGCGCTAAGCAACTCATTGAGATCCTGTCTCTAAATAAAATACAAAATTGGGCTGGGGATGTGGCTCAGTGGTCGAGTGGTTCAATCCCCAGTACCAAAAAAAAAAGGTTCATCCATGTTGTAAATAAATCAGTACTTCATTTTTCTTTTTAAATAACTTTATTTATTCATTCATTTTTTTAATGTGTTGCTGGGGAATGAACCCAGTGCCTCACACGTTAGGCAAGCGGGCTTTACCACTGAGCCACACCCCAGCTCCTCTTTTTTTTATTTTAATAGCCAAATAATTTCCCAGTATGGATATAACATGTTTTGCCCATCAGTTAATCAGCTGGTAAACATTTGAGGTGTTCCTGCCTTCAGCTGCTATAAATAACGCCACCATAGATCTTTGTAAATTTTTGTGCAGGGTTTGCAGAGCATAATTGAATGCTCAAGGCCCTGCTGGGCTCAGTGACACATACCTGTAATCCCAGCAGCTCAGGAGGCTGAGACAGGCAGATCACAAGTTCAAAGCCAGTCTTAGCAATTTAGCAAGGCCCTAAATAATTTAGGGAGACCCTATCTCTAATAAAATACAAAAAGGGCTGGGAAATGACTCAATGACCCCAGATTAAGTGCACCTGGGTTCAATCCCCAGTACGGCGGGTTGGGGGGAGGGGGGGCTGGCGTGGAGGAAGCTGAGACAGGAAGACATGGGCAAGTTCAAGGCTAGCCTCTGCAGCTTGGCAAGACCCTGTCTCAAAGTAGAACTTTTAGAAAATGGCTGGGGATGCAGCTCAGTGGTAGAACACCTCTGCATTCAGTCCCTAGTACCACAAAATGGTGATAATAATGACTAAAAGCAATCTTAAGTCTCATCTTGTGGGTCTTAAATAAGAACACAAAATACAGTGATGCCAGTGCCAAGCTGGGCTAAGCTGGTGGGCGGAGCAACAATGTGCTTGCACTTCAGCGCTTCATAGCTGATCATTCTGGTCATGGATTTGGAATTGTTAGAATAGAAACTTGGAAATTGAACTCTGTCCTTTTCCCCCCAGGTGCAGTACAAAAGGCTTCTAAGAAATTAGAAATGCACATTTACAGCAAGAGGTTGGAAATCATGCTCCAGTAAGTCTCTTACTCATCATCGCCCAACCAGGAAGTAAGGATGGGTGGGAGGAGCCCTGAACTCTGCTCTGGCACATTCGCATACTGGCTGTGTGATGCAAGCCAGGGCAGCTTCACTCTGCTAGATTCCTGGTGTGGGACCTGCCTGGCCAGCTGCCTACATTCATATAACAGGGCCTCGGGATGTGCTGACAGGCTGGCACCATCAACCACAGACCCTTGACTCAGCAGTACCACTGACCGCCTGAAGGATGATTTTATATTTACTACTTTTGTTTGTTTTCCTGCAGTTCTGGGGATTGAACCTAATGTTGCTCTACACCTGTGCTACATCTCCAGACTTTTTTATTTTTTATTTTGAGACAGCATCTTGCTAAAGTTGCTTAGGGCCTCACTAAGTTGCTGAGGCTGACCTTGAATTTATAATCCTCTTGCCTCAACTTCCAAGCCTCTGGGATTACCAGTGTGCACCACTGTACCCTACGTGTTTGCTTCTTAAATATGAATTCTTTGATAAAAGGGGTTTCATTCTAGACTTTCTCAGATATGAAGTCTGTAGCTGTGCAATACTTTTCATATTGGTATTTTTCTGAACACCAGATAATTAAGTCCTTTGCCTTTCTATAAGTATTCTTTAAATCTGATTTTGGAATGTTTTTCCAAGTAAAATAATCTTGTAAAGAGTAGATAGCTATGATTTATAATTTCAGCACCTAGTACAATGTTCCTTGTATGTGGTAATCTCTCAAATACTTGTTAAAAAATGACTTCTAGTTTTAAATTGAAGGTTACTTAATTATACATCTTAACAAAATAAGGTGTTCTATATGTTTGGAAGATTTTTGCATTAGCATTTCTGTTTCTTTCATTCTTTTTCCCACATTTCACACTTGATAATAGTGGCTTTTAAAAAATGGATAAGTTTCTATTGGGTTTTCTGTTTGTTCATTTGTGTTTTTAGAAATAGTCTCACTGTGTTGCCAAGGTTGGCCTCAAATTCCTGAATTCAAGTGAACCTCCTACCTCAGCCTCCTCAGTAGCTGAAACTGCAGCACATGCTACTGCACCCAGCTTATTCACCCAGTGGATAACAGGATTTAAATGATGACTTAGCCTATAGAAGCTGTCACACATCTTCAGAAATAGTGTTCTTGGTGCTGGCATTTTGATTTTAAGAAGCGTCCCTTGTCACATAAACTAGACAAGCCATAGGAGCAGAGCTGTCTTTGCCACTGACAAGGGTGCTAACTCTGTCAGTTTCCAGCCCTGTGGCTAAGTAGCTCTGAGTCTCTTGCTCTTTCTGCAGGGGTTTTGCTCTGCACTGACCTGCCAGTGTGATGAGGCTGTGGGACTTTTCCCCAGCATGTGGAGAAGAGGGATATGCACAATTTTACCTTGGATTTCAAAGGGGTTAGGTGACCTCTCCTCAAAGCCTTTCCTGGGACCCAGGTTGAGAGCCCTGTTGACGTGGGTGTCCTGCTTTCCAGATCTGAGTAGGTTCGGGACTGCAGCAGTCCTGCTTTCAGGCTCTGCAGAAATAGAGAACGTGGGGCTCCCTGCCGTAGTCAGCTGGCCCAGTATCTTCAGTCCATCCAACAGTCAATTATGTGAAAAACAATTGCAACTTGTTTTCCTGACTTTTGAATATATTTCTATATTTGAAATATATTATTTGGTCTGGGTATATAGCTTAGTGGTAGCATACCTAGCATACAAAAGGCCCTGGGTTTGATCCCCAGCACAGGATGGGGGGGGGGGGGGGGAGAAATATGGTATTTTTCCTTAGTACTGATTTACCCAGACAGATTTATTCAAATATATTCATTTTTTACAGTACTAGGGATCAAACCCAGGAGCGCTGTACCCCTGAGCTACACCCCAGAAATTTTTTTTTAATTTTGAGACAGGATCTCATTGAGTTGCTGCAGTTAACCTTGATCTTATGATCCTCATGCCTCAGTCTCCTAAGTTGCTAGGGTTATGTGTGTGTGTGTTGTGCTGGAGATTGAACCCAGGGCCTTGTGCATTCGAGGCAAGTACTCTACCAACTGAGCTATATCCCCAGTCCTCAAACACATTATTAACATTTACTGTCTAAAAGAACAAGCAGTTGGTCCCTCCCCACTGCCAGTTCAATACAGTGTTGTCAGTGTCTGATTCTGTCAGAGGGCTGTTTTATGGAGCTTTTATATTCATTAACTGCATCCAGACTATTAATTGGACTACTGTTTTCAAATACCCCTGTAACTGATCGTAACAGTGTTGAAATTAATGATTAAACTATAGTCCCTCAATAACAGAAATGGTATTGTCATGTATCTGTATCCCCAGTACTTGGCTCCACACCAGACACTAGAAGGTGCTCAGTCAAAACTGAGCTTCATGAATACAAAGTAGGCATTTGACTAAAAGGAGTGGACAGCTAGTGAACTTAGGAGCCAGTGATGCCCACATACCTGGACTTAAATTCCAACTCAACAGCTTACAAGCTTTGAGGATTTTAGCAAATCACTAACCTCTCTTTTTATTCCTCGTGTGTCAAAGAATCTTTACCAAAATCATTATACATTAAGGTAATGTATATATTGGGCTAGGGTTGTGGCTCAGTGTAGAGCACTTGCCTAGCATGTGTGAGGCACTGGGTTCGATCCTCAGCATCATATATAAAAATAAATAAATAAAATAAAGGTATTGTGTCCATCTAAACTAAAAAAAAAAAAAGATAATGTATATAAAGTGCTTAGTATAATGCCTGCTCGATGGAACATACTTAATAAATGATGCTATTTTACCTGATTTTAAAAACTAATAAATTATATCAAGGTAAACAATATGTATACCTCAGGAATAGATATCAGTACTTCACTTTGGAACTAGGATTTATCTTCAATTTTATTTTTTTCCCCAAATATACAAAGCAGGACCCTTCTATTAACATGTCATCTTTATTTATTTTAAGGGACATATTTGGAGAAGAATGTGTAAGTGTAAAAGATGGTTCTGTCCTTAGCGTCACCGTGGATGGGAAAACAGCTAATATTAACTTGGACACACGGGTACGTAACTGTTCCTACATTTCAAACCATTTGGAACATAAAGTGAGGACAGAAATAATTTCTGATCCCACACCTAACACAGTTTTTGTTTGTTTGCTTTTTTCAGTCTGGCATTTCCTCACAGTGTATTCTCCATATTCTTACTTACATATTTAAGTTACAAAGTATTCTTTAGGGAAATGTTTCAGCTTGTCTTCATTCACCTTAGCCTTTCTCTACTTTGGCATCCAGTTGATTTTTTCAGAGAAGCTGCTCCTGTTTCCTCCAGCAAGATACATGTGGCTTTTCTAAATGTTGGCTTTCAGGGGTGGGGTTTAAATTTATTTTACCTCAGTAGAAAAAATAAACTAAGACATGAACATATACTTCACTAGGGAAGGAGTATCAGTAGCCAGTAAGTTTAAAACAAATATCCAGATCCACTAATACAGAAATCGCAAACCTAATATTTCTGCAAAGCAGTTTGGCATCAAAAGCTTTAATAGAGTAAGGTCTTTGTCTACAACTCTGCTTATTAGATTTTACTAAAGAAAAGAATTAAACAGATGCACAAAGATAGTGTACAACAGTATCCATTTAAGCATTTTTTAAAATGGCAAGGGATGAGCTGAGAATATAAAACAATAATTGAGCACTTTCATAGCATATACAAGGCCCTGCCTAGTATGTGCAAAGCCCTGGTTTGATCCCCGGCACTGTAAAAAGAAAAAAAAATGGTAAGAAACTTAAATCCAAAAGTAGGAGATAATAAATGATATAACTAAATATAAATAAATTGTGTATATGGCATTTTCTTATATTTGAAGTACAGCCATCAAGACAGTTGGGCCAGGCACAATGGTGCATACCTGTAATCCCAGGGGCTCTGGAGACTGAGACAGGAGAATAGCGAGTTCAAAGCCAGCCTCAGCAATTTAGCGAGGCCTGAGCAACTCAGTGAGACCCTGTCTCTAATAAAATACAAAATAAGGCTGGGAATGTGGCTTAGTGGTCAAGTGCCCCTGAGTTCAATCCCCAGTATCTACAAAAAATTTTTTAAATAACAAGAAAGTTGGTGCAGCTGGCTGAGGTGCATGCCTATAATCCCAGTGGTTCAGGAGGCTGACAGAAGAATCACAAGTTCAAGGCCAGAATCAGCAACTCATCGAGGGCCTAAACAACTTAGTGAGACCCTGTCTCAAAATAAAAAGGGCTGGGGATGTGGCTGAGCAGTAAAGTACCCCTGGGTTAAATCCTCAGTACCAAAAAAAAAAAAAAAAAAAATGTTGGTGCAGATTCATTAATACACAGAGTTGTCCACTACATTGTTGAGAAAAAAAGTTATAAGGCAGCATGTATGATAAAGTATCCCATTTTTGTTTTAATTTAAAAGTGTGTATATATATGTATATATGTAAGAAAAGTGTGGGGCTGGGGCTGGGACTCAGCATTAACACATTTGCCTAGGTTTGATTCTCAGTACTGCATGTAAATAAATAAAAGTCTATCAACAACTAAAAAAAAATTTTAAACCATAATATCTAAAAAAATAAGTGTGTGTGTGTATACATATACATTCCCACCCACATATATATCTATAGGCTGAGGTAGAGCACTTGTCTAGCATGTGTAAGGCACTGGGTTTGATCCTTAGCATCACATATAGATAGATAGATAGATAGATAGATAGACAGACAGATAGATGGATGGATGTAGCTATACAACTTAAAAAAATTGTTTTAAAGGGTATATGTGTTTGTGTGTGTGTGTAACTAAAAGTCTTCACAGTTATACACTGAAATGTTAGCTAATCATTTGGTCCTAGAATTGAGAATTTGCTTTTTCCATCTTAAATTTTTAAATGGAGAATATTTTTTTAATTATTTTTATTTTTTTTTAAAGAGAAAGAGAGAGAGAGAATTTTTAATATTTATTTTTTAGTTTTCGGCGGACACAACATCTCTGTTTGTATGTGGTGCTGAGGATCAAACCCGGGCCGCACGCATGCCAAGTGAGCGCACCACCGCTTGAGCCACATCCCCAGCCCAAATGGAGAATATTTATAGTATGATTTTTTAAGCATTTTAACAGTGTAGTGTTTCATGGTTGAGCTTTAAGAAGTAACTATGAGATTATTAGTGTAAATCAAATTAAATACCAAATATTGAGTAGATGACCACCTCCATTGCTTGCCAAAAGTACTTTTTGTTGTACCACCTAGCTTCCTTGGACTAGCATTGCCTGGACCAAATATGGGCAATTCCGTGTAGTTCTCTACACCTTTCCATATTCTGAATTTCAGTGCAAGTAGTGATTATGATTTAAAAGTTTTAAACCCATTTCTGCTACTTTTTCCCTCCTGACACTTGCCAAATTTCTTTCTTTTTGTGGCCCCACTATTTGCACCTCCTTTCCCCCACCCCCTCTTTCCTAGGACTCACCTTCCAGCTTCTTCTAAGGCAGGGCTCAATATTTCCCCGCCCTCAGCTCACCTCTAATTAGGACCATGCGTGTGTCAGGACGGGCTTGGTACCCTGTACCTGTTCTAGGTGTGCAGACTAGTAGTTCTACCCCTTGGTCATCAGTCCTCCAATGCCCTCCACCCTTACAGAAGATGGCTTGTTCTTAGACTGTTTATCCTCCATATAATTATAGACTCCAAAAGGCATGTTTGTGCTTTCACTTTCAGGCTGTAGAATGTGAAGAAGGAAGTGAAGACGATGAGTCCCTCCGAGAAATGGTGGAATTGGCTGCACAGAGGCTGTATGAGGCACTCACGCCAGTTCACTGACTACCTTTTATCACTGTGTGTTAAAAGCTTTTTTTAATTTTGAGTCTACTTCTGTTATTTCAAATAAAATACCTTAGTTTTCTGGGGGTAGCCTGTTTACCTTTGATATCAAATGGCCTTTATTCCAGCAACACACTAAATTACCAACTAATCTGTCCATTTTTCTAGAATTAACTACTGAATAAACTGCTCATTATTTTAGAATTGATTCTGCCTCCCAGAATGTATGCAGTTTCACTGAAATCTTTTGATATGTTCATAGGAAATGAGTCAGAATTTCTTATTATATTTACTAAGGAAAGAAAATAGTGTTTTGTATTTTCACATCTATATTCTGAATTTCAGTGCAAGTAATGATTATGATTTAAAAGTTTTAAACTCATTTCTGTTACTTCCCTCCTGACACTCTTGCCAAATTCCTTTCTTTTTGTGGCCCCACTGTTTGCACCCCCTTTCCCCCATCCCCACTTTCGTAGGACTCACCTTCCAGCTTCTTCTAAGGCAGGGTGTAAAACCCCACAAAGGGTCCCAGCCCTAGTCCTTCCCGGCCCCTTCAGCCAGCATGGCCAAGCGTGGAGCAGGCAGTTTCTTAGGTCTTGGAGCCTTTACCCTTGGGACCAGAACCAGTCTAGGAACCTGGAGGAAGGGAGCAGAGGAGACAGCCTAGAGGGTTTACCTTGGCTTTACAAGGTTCTGGGGATCCAGCCTCTGGGTTAGGGGAATATGTTGGAAACTAAGGCGGCTGGTCAGACTACAGCAGGCAGGATGGAGGTTATAGTGCAGAAAGGACTTCTAGATGGCACTCAGCAGTAGCCAGCCAACCTGCAAATGTGAAAAAGGGAGCCAGTCTAGTCTCATCAGCCTGGTTTTAGGAATCCAGGTGTCATGTGAGAACATTGACTTGGGAGTAGGGTGGGGTCCTGGACTTCTGGAAAGACAAAGAGGTGGTGAAAAGAAGAGAGGTTCTCAAATTCTTAATTTGTACATTTTTTAAAATATGACTTTAAAGACTCATTTTCTTTATAGTATCTACACATTCAGGTCAGGAAAATTCAGTTTTTATTACTCAAATGTATTCAGGTGGCAGTTGTTGATTTGTTTCTTGTGTAAATTTGCTCATTGGTCTAATTTCCTGAAGTATGTTTAACATTGCAGGAGTGTCTGCAGTTTAGCTCTGCTAGGGATCTATAATGAAAATGGCCTGATTGATACTCCCCCCCAGGAACAAACAAGTGCACTGCTAGCCAGCATCTTCCCTCACAACTGTCCACGGAGCTCATGGGCTTCATCTCTTAGTGATATGACCTTCTATAGCTCCTCTGGTAATCACCTTCAGTATATAAATCTGATTCTGTTACTTAAAATGAAAGATTCATTTATATAAAAATAGCCTACTTACCTTTTTTGTTTTTTTTTTTTAGTTTTGTTACTGGGGATTTAACCCAGGGACACTTTACCACTGAGCAACATCCCCAGCCCTTTCATTTTTTTTTAAGACAGGGCCTCACTAAATTGCTGAGGCTGGCCTTGAACTTGCAATCCTCCTGCCTCAGCTTCCTGAGTCACTGGGATTACAGGTGTGTGTCACCATGCCTAGTTTTTTTCCCCCTCTTGTACTGGGGATTGAATCCAGGGGAGCTCTGCCACAAAGCTATATTTCCAGACCCCTTTTTTGTGTTTGTTTTGGAGACAGGGTTTCCCTAAAATGCCCACGCTGAGATTACTAGTTAGGATTACAATGGGCCACTGTGGGCTGCATAAAAGAGCCTACTTCAGCCCATACTAAAAGATCTCGGGGTCAATTTTCACCTTTTATGTGTCAGAAGATTTTATGATAATCTGGGCCCAGTGGCACATGCCTGTAATCCCAGCAATTTAGGAGGCTGAGCCAGGAGGATCCCAAGTTTGAAGTCAACGTCAGCAATTTATGAGACCCTATCTCAAAGGGGGGGGGGGGGGGCTGGGGATGTTGCTCAGCGCCCAAGAACCTCTGGGTTCAATCCTTGATACCAAAACACACACACACACACACACACACACACACACACACAATATGATAAATTTAAAAACATTGTTACAAAAAAATCACAGGCTTTTTGTAATACTTTTAACAACATAAAATGTATAAAAAGAGGAAAAGCGCCTTTCCCCTTAGTCCCACACCGTTTAAGTAAGCAATTTGAGTGAGGTTTCTAAACTGTTCTGGGTATCGGTCCCGCCCCACGTGCTCTCAGCCCTCTGAACTCTGGCTGGAACGGATTCCTAAAATGGCACATTTGACCTCCGCTGCAGCTGAAGTCTGGGTGATTAGGACGAAGTCGGAACACCTCAAGACTTGGCAAGGGTTCTCCATCTGGCGCAGGCAGTGACCCCTGCCGCAGTGCTGCCACACTAGACGCGTTTCGGCGGACAGGAGTGAGGGTCCGCAATCAGCCTTTATTTTTAAAGCTCTCCAGAGGACACAAGCCGGAAGCCGCAGGCTTGTCGCGCAGCGCAGCACGCCAGCGTCCTCGGCCACTTGGGCACAAGGTAGGCGGGCTGCCGGTAGCTGCGCGCCGCCTCGCCCTGGGCACCTAGCTGTCCTGTTCCCACGTCGCCGGGCCGAACGCTTCACACGCGCCCGAGTTGCCCTTAACGGCGGTCGTGCCAGGGGCCCCTTTCGTGACTGCGCCGATGCTCTGTGCCGCAGCGCGTCGGGGCTGGCGCCAAACTGCCGCCCTCTCGGGTTGTCTGGGGGAACTGCCAAGGGCGCCGCGGGAAGGCCTGTTTCCATCTCATCCGGACCCGCGAGATACGTGAGGCCGAACTTTCATAAAGGCACAGAACTCGACCTCCCGGTGCCCGCCGCGCACGCTCGAGCGCCACGCCCACCCCCTCGAGCGCCACGCCCACCCCCTCGAGCGCCACGCCCACCCCTCGAGTGCCCCCTTCTGAGGGCCACGCCCACGAGGGCCCGCCTCCCGAAGGCCACGCCCCCATGAGCGCCTCGCCC